ACATTCGCAGTTCAATATCATCATAAGAAGGACTCCAGCCTACCTGTAATATAAATGAACACAGCTAACAGCCATCAGAGAAGCGTTTTCAGTTTGATTTCTCCGGTAGTTAAGGCAGGCAGTCATGTAACTTAAAGTGTGGTGAAACCAAATAATTTCTTTTACATTTGATTGCTTTTATGCATTTGCATTTTAACAAAAGGTAGGCTGCTCCAAACACTGTAACGGACAAACCTTGTAAGCTTCTGTTTAGAAAGCCGTCACCAGGTGAGAATGAGGGCTGCAGCACTTAGCAAGTTATATTTCATTCTGAAAAACCATGTGGGCAGTGAAAGTGCTTTCTGAAAGGAAAACATATTTTCTTCCTGGAAATGGATGGACCGCTCATCTTCTAATTGCATTTATCTGTGGTGCTGACTCGTAACTCTATTTAATCCTCACATTTTGTCAATGTCAAATCAACTTGCATACTTGATTAGATCAGACTCGAAGACTTTCTATTGCTAAAGATTCATCTTACATAAACATTCTCTCTTCAGCACATTGGGAGACATGGTATGTTTGGGTAAAAGACCCACCGAAGTGTTAAAATTCCAATAAGAAAACAAGAGAATGGCTCAGCAAGGTGTTCTTAGCTAGAGCTTATAGACACTAAGGAACAGCACCGGATCGATAAACCAATATGCAAGCTGAGCGCAGAAGAGAAACTGATGAACTCACTTTTCTGTAAATTGGGTTATGTTGAAAGTACTTGAAATGAAACGTGATAAAATGAGCCAGCTATAAACTTGATGTATTTTACAGGGAGTGATAGCCCCGAGAGAAATATCAAGAGCAACTTTTAAAATTAGTTTGTTCCTTAATTCATTGTACAAATATTTATTGAGGCCCTAAGAAATGCAAAGCATGCTGTGCCCCGTGGAGAATATAAGCCTGAGAGACCCCCAAGGAGCTTCCAGTCAGAGAGCTGAGGGGAGGGAAACTGATCACGGGAAAAGTAGAAAGTGAGGAACCCCTGGGAGGGTGCAGAGAGGGCGCCGAGGAGGAGAGAGGAGCAGCAACCTCCCCACCGGGACCCTGACTCCTGCCCCACAGACAGTGAGGTAAAGAACACCTGTGGCTCCAAAGGCCACCCCATCTCTGGGGAAAGGTGTGGGGATGCTTCTAGAAACATCTTCACAGAGGTAAAATTTGCGTCTCTACTTGAGATAGTATTTTATTCCAAATCCCCAACCCATAGTTTTTCTTTCAGCATCCATGTCTTTCTTTTTAAAAATTCACTCGGGAAACATGTTGAGTTTCTGCTGTGTCCATAGATGACAGGCCCCTTGTTAAAAGCTGGGGGTGAAGACACAATCCCCTCCCCCGTCACTGAGCTGTAACAGAGCAACAGTTGAATAGAGTGTGAAGACAGCATACAGTGTGTGATACGAACTGTGGTAGAAATAGGCACAGACTGTCATGAGAACACAAAGAAAGGGCAGGATGCGGGGTAAGGACGGAGAGGGGAGGCTGGGCAGCCTCCTGACCCCGCGGCATGGTGATCAGTGCCCCAGGTGAGCAGCAGGTGCAACAGTACCAAGGCCCCGAGAACACAAGACATTCTGGGGGCTCGACCTAGATCTCGATGACAGGTGGCTGGCTGTGACTGAAGCATGATGCAGAGGGAGGCTGGAGATGTAGGCAAGGGCCAGGTCAGAAAGGACTTGCAGGGGTCCTGAAGAGCTTTGATTTTAACTTGAGAACAATAGGAGTAGGGAGATGTTGTAAAGCAGTCTTCCTCGCTAGAAGAGTTGAATTTTAGAATTTTTCCCAGGCAACATTAGGAGGGTCCTTTTGAGGACAGCCAAAACTGGACACAGGAGCTTAAGAGGAGATTATGGTAGTGCTGAGGACCAAGATAAGAGGATGTGTTAGGAGGAGGTTAGGCAAAAGGGAGATTCGAGGCTGTCCACCAGATGGCTGGCTTGGGTAACAGGAAGCTAATGGTTCTGGCCATGCAGACACAGAGAGGAAAGTGCACACACAAGGACAAGAGGGGGAGCTCAGCTCAGGGCTACTGTGACTTGGGTCCGTGGGACATGCACGAGAAAGGACATGCCTCATGGGCAGGTGAATGTGCTGGTCTCAAGCCCAGCAAAGAAGGATGGTGGCGCTGTAGCCTGGGAGCCATGCAGAGTCAGGAGGCAGGGAAGACCTAGAAGGAATTTGGTTACTGAGGTGAGTGGTCAGAGAGATGACAGGAGGCCAGCCCCGCCCCCGGAGATGCCACACTGAAGGGAGCAAAGGAACAGGGCTGCAGAATCTAACACGAGCCCCTGGAGGAGCCGATCAGCAGAGACGGCTGATCCAGAGTTCAAGGAGGAAGACCTGGCCACCGGCACACCACAGAAAGCACGAACATAATAACTTGGGGGATGAGAAGGCTGAAGAGCAGGGCGTTGGAGTCCAGTAATTCTCAGGCACAGTGGTGCTGGGCAGTGGCAGGATCAAGCCTGCACTCAGGGGGCTGTTTCCTGGACCTCATGGGCTCCAGAGCACTTTGCACCCTCCTGTAGCCATGTGTGTCTGAAGGATGTGTCGGGAGCTGCTTTGGCATTGGGATGTCAAGATGGAGGAGAAGCACTTCATGTACCCAAGGAGTTTGCAGCCTAATAGAGTAAAAAGACAAAATAATTTTGGGTGG